ATACATCAACTGCTAAATCTTGAAGCAACATAACTTTAATTCCCTGGATTAAACATTCAAATAAGGAAGAAAAAAATACCCCCCAGAAGAGTAAACTCATCCTTCTCTGAATGTAACAAATCAAAGATAAGCAGCATGCTCCCTTTACAGCATTGTCCAAGTGCCTACTCTGGATAAAAGTCACATGCAAAGCAGAATGCAGTGAGTGCACACAGTACTGGGGCTGTTTTACAAAACGCTTTGCACACCTGAGTCGCCGTGTGCTAAGGGCAGTGCACAGGGAGCAGCTTTTCCTTGTGCATTGCACCTGGTGTCAGCACCCACCATCACAGCAGGACAACACAGCACCCAGAAAAGCTGAATGCATCACATTGCAGGCTCTTGGCAGAACCAAGAACAGCGCTCAGATATTCAGGCTCCTCTTTCAGTATCTTAAGCCTTGCTCAAATCAGGCCATGTGGCATTCAATCCAGCCTCCTTCACTGTCCCTGTGCTGTCTGTGCTGTGCAGTTCTTGCATCAGAGCAGGATACGGAACCTTAAATAACCCCAGAGCACAGCAGAGGCTCAGCGATGGATGGTGGGACACTGAGCAAGAGCAGTGTCTTCAGGGCACCTGAGAGGTGATCCAACACTGTTGATACCTCCTTGTACAGAAAAAGTCCCTCCTGCTCTCACAGACCAGGGCTGGAACCTCCCTATGCTGCCATCCCAGCAGCCCAGCGCTGGGCCAGCAGCTCCATTTTCCATTCCTGGGCAGGTAAGGAATCTGGGCAGACCCTCCTCCAGGCCCCACGCCTGAAGTAGCTTTTCTGGGCATCCCCACTGATGGGCTGAATGGACAGCAAAGCCAAACCTCTGCCTGGCAGCCCCACTAAAAACCTCAGAGCTTTGAGGAAGGAAAACATATAAGAGGAAAGGACTGGAAAGCAGAGACTTGCATGGAAAAGTGAGAACCACTGATCCTCTTTGGATGGCACGTGGGGTAAAGCAGCTTTTAATGAGGATGTTCAGGGCTCTGAGTCACCCCTTCCTGATACACCATTGAAGACAGAGCCGAGACAAAGACAAGTCCTGCCACCATGCCTCGTGCCTCAGAGCAGCCTGGGTTGGCTGTAGCTGGCAGTCAGGCCTGGATGGGCCTTTTGTCCACTGCTTTTCCACGCAATGAACACGCTAAAGCTTTACACGAGGCATTTCCTTTTCCAAATAGGAAACAGGATCTCTGTATATGTGTCTGGATACCACTGCTCACTGCTCCTCTCTTCTGGTGTATAAAGCCCCAGTAGTGCACAGAAGGGTAAGGTGAAGTGTAGGAGCCCTGGGCAGGGCAAGTCTGTGAGTCTGCCAAGCACCAGGTACCACCCTCAGCCTGGCAATCCTGCAGCCCTGCTGAGACGCTTCATCACAAGGAGAACCCACCCCTCTCCTGAGCAAATCACACCCCCTCTCAGGGGCTGGCTGGGGGAGAAGGCCCCTGGTCACAGCCATGCTGATGCACCAGGGCTCTGAGCAGAGCCAGGCTCCAGCAACACGATGCAGCACAGAGCTGCACTGCTGCCCTGTCTCCTAACCCCCACTCACCTATGGCTCCCACTGCTTCACCAGCCTTGGCAGGAGAGCGGATAGAGAAGCAGGCCCAGAGGGCTGTGGGCTCTCCTCCCAGAAGCTCTCTGGCACCAAAGAGTGGCACAGCTCCAAGCCTCTCATTTCTGTGAAAGCCTCCCTGCAGCTCCCTGCTTCCCCAGGACAGGCTTGGCTCAGCACCTATGATTAGTATCAACTGTACTTTCCAGGGCGGGTAATTAGTTCAGGTGAGGCAACTCTGACAATTGGCTGCTGTGGCCCCTCTCTTGGCAAGCACCCGGATCCCAAACAAGCATCTCACATATCAAAGGGGCTGCCTGCTCCACAAGCAGATCCACCCTGTGCATCTGCCCAGCCCTGCACTGGGGGTACTGGCAGCTTTTCCTGCAGAGAACAGGGAAACACAGAGCGCTCAGCACATGGCTCTAGTGAGCGCTCCCCATTTTCACTGCTGGAGTTTACATACCTGGAATAGCTCTGCATGGTGGACACAAGCCACTGTGCAGGTAACTGTACAGAGCCTTGCACAGGATGCCACAATGAGCACAGTATCCTCCTTTCCAAATCCTCCTTTTTGACAGCCAACAGACAGAATGTCAAGGTGTCATGGAGGAAAGGAAACTGCCTAGAGGTAGGTGGAAGGTGCAAGGTTCAAAGAGGGAATTCACCAGAAGAGGATGAGACCGTGCAGAAGGGGAGGGAGCAAAGGCCAATTCATACACCAGGCTAAATTTATCAGCACAGTCTAATGGGATCCCAAGTAACCTTCCAAGTGAAGTAGCAAAATAAAACACTTAAGCCATTGAAAACTAAACTGGTCAAAGAGCCCCGCTGAACAATCCCGCATTGTCCATGGAGCCAGGAAACAGATTTATTAGGTCACCCAGGCCATCTCCAGTTACAGTGAACTTGGGATGGTTCTAGGGATGGTTCCAACTCCCTCCTCTGGCACTGCCACTGTCCTTCACTGGGCAGCGGAAACTGCAGGAAGGGGAGGGGAGAAGTCCAGCAAAAGATCTCACTTTTCCAAGGTTCAGGAAAAGCACTGAGGTTGGACACTTCCATCATGCCAGACACTTCCCAGTTTTGATTCCCTTGGACTGAGGCTGCTACAGTGGAGCAACAGAAACACCCTTGGATAGCTCAAACAACAAAGGACCTGCCAATGAGATTAGAGCTTCAGTTCCTCCAGCACCAAGGGATTCAGCTGCCAAATGCTCAACGACTCTGCACCAATTCCAGGCTACACTTTCCAAGTCCCAGACAAGGCTTAGAGCCTGGGTGTCTTTGCCAAGCAATAACGCTCTTGACTCCTGAGTGGGTTTCCCCCCCACCATCTTTTAGATTCCCAGTCTGAATGCTTGTTGTTTACCAAGGAAAAGTTATATGGCAAATCTCTCAACCCTTGGAGCTGGGGAGATGCCTGTGTTTCTGGAAGCATGGAGTGCCACAGCACGCAAATACAACAGGCACTCACTACAAGGCAGAGTGCCATCACAACTGCAGTCAGAAGATGCCAGCACCTCAACCTCAACTCCTAGCAGGCACCCAACAGCCCTCTGCATCCAATGCCAGTCGCCTGGGCATGGCTCCTAGTCCAGATCAGCCCAGATACTCAAGAGTTCTACATGGAAAAAGCATCTACAAAATCCACCTTAGGCTGCATAAGCCAGGCACCCTTGAAGAGCCGCAGCCCTTTAGTCAGGAGTTATCTTTGCTGCAGTGCTGGGAGCACACTGCTCAGCACAGCCAGCTGCTTTTGCAGAGAAACAGAACAACTTGGAAAGCAGCAGTTGCAGAGGGGTTTGAATCTGTTCCTAGTATAAACTGGTGCAGGAGAGCCTGAGGAATGAATTACTCAATAAAAAGATACCTCCAAAGAAGAAAACTTGTAGGAAATGCTAAAGCAAGGATACACGTCTCCCTTCCCTTGTATTTCTCACCAACTGCAAAACACCCTGGGAAGCTCACCCAGGAGGCGAAAATATACAGCAATGGAAGACAAAAGAGGATTACAGTCTGATTGCAGTCACCGAACTAAGACAGAACCATTTATTGGTTCCACAAGGCTTGAGGCATAAGTGAGGTTGTTTAGTTTTTCAGCCCTCAGTGCACTTGTAACGAGCCAGAGCTTGTGATGATAGTTAAACCCAAATTGCATCAAGAACATTTAACAGTTTCAAACTTGCCTTGTATACGCAATGAGTTCAGACACACTGACTCTCTGATCAAGAATCCAGATTCAGCACAAATGATTTAGTATACTGGATTAGTCTCAAGTGTAATGACTAACTCTGAGAAACTTTTACACTATTTTTAAATCTCACTTGTCAGGGCAGAACCTGGAAACTAAATGAGAATCCCAGAGACATTCATCCCAAGACAAAAATCAAAACAGGAGTACCTTGCAGCTTCCAAGGGTAGCTGTGTCAGGCTAGTGCCACCTGGTGGGAAACTTTTCTCCACCCCCCTTGCTCAGTTTCATCCTTTCTGTTCCACGTTCCAGCTTCCCAGAGGCAAGACAAGGGAGTAACAACCAGATTAACACCAAAAAAGCAGAAAGGGCTGCGTAGCTCTTCCAACTATTCAGATTATCTTCCAGGTATAGGCCACAGATTCTCAGCTATTGTGTAGCTGAGCCTGACTGGATGGATGGAGGCTCATCTGCAAGAAGAATGTGTAGACCAACACCAACACACCTCACAACAATCTCTGTGCATTATTAAGCTGGTTTACGGAAAACCAGGAAGATTGACACATCTCCCTATAGAAACATATGGGTTATTATAACACAGCTCCTCTGGAGAGATGTTTGTCTAGCAACAGCTCCAGCTCCTCACACCATCCTGACTCTGCTAGAGCAGCACCGGCAAGGCCAAGACGACCACCCTCAGCAGGTGGTGGGGACTCAGCTGGCCAGGTCTGGCTGCAGCTGATGAGGGATAAAGGGGTTGCACAAGCTGTCCCACCACACCGGTGCTCATTTCAACACGAGGGTCAATACTAACACCACAGCCCAGGGACAGGACAAGGACCCACCTTCCATAGATGCATTCTGATCTCCTTGGTGAGCAGGAAAGTGCAGAGGTTCCCCCAGACAGTGCCCTCTACTCTTAGGTCAGCACAAACAGCACAGCTACAGCTCCAGTTTGACCAGGCTGCTCCTTGCACAGAAGGGCACACTGGGCATAGCTTGAGGTACCCTGGCAGCCTCATCCCAGTGGAAAGATTTCATTCAACCAGCCTAGAGACAAAACCTCTAAATGATACTGCCAGCTCAGGACAGAGAAGGCAGGGCTAATGACAGACACATAGGCAAGATTCTAGCATGAGCCCTGACAAATGAAGACTGATTGGTCCAGTATCTCCCCAGTTTGGCAAGACTAACAATGTCTACATACACAACCCAGCAAGAAACACTTGAATCCCAGCAGAACCAACTCCACACGGGATGTTTTTATTTTTATACATTTAACACCGAGAAGACAGCTGCTTTGAATGGACTCAGCCTGCCCGTGGTGCACAAGGCATTCAGTGGCAGAAGGAACCTGTCACAGTCCACAGCTTCACTCCTTCCAACCTGCAGGCACACATCCTAGAGACGGATCCAGTACATGGCACTGCGGAGACGGTTGTAATCCAAGAGCTGTTCAATGGGACCTGAGTGAACAGAAAAAGAGTTAGTCACTGGAGACATAGTTAAAATCCCCATGCAGTTTCTCATGGTCTTAAAGCAGATGGTAGCAGAGCAGACCGTGCTCACAATCCAGAGCAGTTTTGCACAAAACCAGGCAACCACAGCTCAAACCTGCATCAGGAAAACCAGGAGATACTATCTCCTGACAGAACAAGCTATTTTCTCACACTGCTCAACAATGCTCAGTACAGCTCCACATACAGGTTTGCAATACAGGGAGCCACCAAGTCATTCCAACTTCCTGTTCATAAACTCTCCCTTTCCAAGCTGCTCCACTTTGAAGGCCAGAGGAAACAGCTGCCTGGAGGAGGGGAATTCACAACACACAGGAAGGAGGCAGCAGAGCGGAGCTGAGCTGCTTAGGCAGGTTTTCCGAAAGGAATTTGTCCTTGGCCAGACAGACATGCCAGAGCAGCACAGGAGAATCAGGTCCCTTCACTTCCCTTACATAAACCACCCTGACCCCAGGGTAAGGACACCTGGCAGACGTGCTGGGCCCGCACCCAGCTACAGGACTCCCAGCCTTAGTCACAGCTCCACAGCAAGGAGAGGTGGGAGGACAGCCAGCAGCTCCCTGCCACTGTGTCTCCATCACCTGCAGGTCTGATCTCCTGGAAAACGTGCCTTCGCACACCCCATGTGCACAGGCAGGAGGATACCAGAAAAGAACCAGAGTGGTTAAGGAGGTCAGGGCAGACACACGATGCCTGCAACTCACTTCCACTCAGCTCTTGGCCCCGTCCTGTTTTTTAAGCGAGTACTAATTGCCTCACACTACTTACCCACTGCTGCAATTGCCGGGCATTTGTCATAAATGTATTTACTGCAGACATCTCTCACCATTCTTGCATCAACAGCCTAACAAATATCAAAGAAGCAATTAATGACTCTTCCAGCACATCTGCACTTCTCAAAGTTGCAAGTTACTGTTGCCATTACATATCAAGATCATTAAAAAGATACACTCAGACTCTTGGGGACCAACTGCCCAGCTCTGCCTGCGAGGATGGCCAATGTCACACACAGCACATTCTTCTGAAGGTACAGAAGACGAGGTAGTCCAAAATCTGAAGCCTTCGAAGGGAAACATTGGCTGCAGAACTACACAAACTAGGTGTTGGACACCTCTAGGGGAAATATTAAAGGGATTTCAAGTTGTGCTGCTTGAAACACATGTATGCCCTCTTTCTGGGATGTCCACACAGACAGAGGATACAATGAGTCTATGCCAGAGATTCGGACATCTATATCAGTGTCAGTGGGATAACCACCTGGACTCCAGGCAGTTTAAGGGATAAATAAGCCACACGTTACTCCAGCAAACTAAGGCCAGAAAATGCTGACACTAACCATGCTCAGGTACCCCAGCCAACACAAATGGATACTTACAGAAATCCTGGCATCCCACTCCTCCAGAGGGATACGGCGTCCATAGTTCAACAGATGGCTTGCAATATTCTCACACACTCGTGTAGTACCTAGATATTGAAAATATCACATGGTCAGTGAAGCAGAAAGCCTTCCACAATAGCACAGCCTGATCACCAGCCAAAGCACAGAGAAGAAACTCTAACCATTAAACCAGTTGTTAACAAAGCACAGTCCTAATTCCCGCTCTATGCAGCTCCAGCAGGAGTTAAGCAATACAGAGATTGCTTTAGTGGTCTCCAAAGTCTTACAACTAAGGCAGACCAGTCTGAGGGTCTCAATTTTTAGGTCACCAGGCAGTATGTCACTCGCTGGAGCACAGCAGGCTGGGGTTAGCTGCTT